CATTGTGATTTAAAATATTAAAACAAATACATGAATGAATAAAAAGGTTATTCATACCCAATTAAATTGATTTTTTACATATATATTATAGTCGATATACACAGCACAGCAGAGGGCGTTCGGATCCTCTAGAGTAACTCTATAGAGTGATCCTCTAGAGTGGATGATCCGACGGTTCAGAATAGTCCTCACCAAAACGACGTCGTTTTGGTGAGGATTTTCAAAAAAATTTCCTGCCCACCAAAGTATATACCCTGTCTCTCGTCTCTCGTCTCTCGTTTCTCGTTTCTCTCTCTTTTTCTCTCTCTCATTTACGCACTGTCATTCTCTCTCTCTCTCTCTCTCTCTCTCTCTCTCTCTCTCTCTTACGCAGTCATTGCCATCTTCATCTTCATCGTCATCATCATTATCAGTAGTGTGTCTTCAACCATTTAATCTGCAGTCCTGCATCATCAGTACGCTCTGTTCTTGTTTGTGTTCTTGTATATATAGTTTTGATTCAAGAAATTGATGAACTTGTGATGTGTTTAATTTCATGCTATGTTACGTGGACTCGAGTTCGAGTATCGGGTGTCAGTGTATCCACGACCTTCATAAATTTCAATTTTAGGATCTTGGATGGATATGGGTGTGGGATGTGTCATATACACGTATATATTACATATTATATAATATTCTCCGGTGAGGTGTTGTAAATTATGTAGAAATACTAGAAATTATGATTCAAGCAAAATGTGAAATTTTTATATGGAATTGATGCGAGAGACTAAAACTATTGCTTTACTAGCAAATGTGAGTTTGTTCTTCTTCGTCTATTGTAACAATTTAAAGGGTCCGAGTGTCTAAATTGACATTTATTTGTTATTTTTTTGTCTTGATTTTAATTTTGGTTTATTATTTGAAATAGATGATGTTATGGAGAACACATCAAAGCCTTACTACTGTTATTCTTGTAACAAAAGGTTTGAGCGCATTCTTCAGTTTCAAACTCATAATCACAGGCGACACAAGGATGAGCATGTTGAATGTGGTATATGCCACAACATGTTTTCTACGAAGGGTGCACGAGACGATCATTGGCATAAGGAGCATAACCATCACAGGTTAGCTTTGTCTACATCTTACAAAATTGTAGGATTAGTAAGGACATTTAAATTGATATGCACTATGGATCAGTGTATTGTATTGGTTCAGATATTGAAGTAGTGGTATTACTTGCTTTGGTTTTGTTTGTATGTTTGTTTGTTTGTTTTTTTTTTTTTAAATTGTTACTAATGGACATCCTTATACATGGTACAAATTTGTATACCCCTTTGTTTCATTCCTCATTTTATTTTGTAGTTTCCAAGTTTATGGAATGATTAGCATAACTTTTGTTCTATACCTGTATGAACTAGGATGTAAAGTAGGTTTTTTACTACCCTTTTTCTTGTTTTCTTTTTTGGTTTTGACGCATCCGTATCTATCACTAAATTGAATCCAATTATGTTTATATCAACTGGGGAGGTTATGGAACAACTTCTTACTCGCCAGTGCGGCAGTGGTGGCCTTTCACGTGATGTTTGTCGCAGTTGAAAATTGAAATACTTAGAGTCTCCAAATTGCAAAAATTATTCTGCCTGCCTTGCTTTATGACTTCTTATACTTTTAGCATATTCTGTTGTTTCATTAAAGCCTTTATTTTCTGCAAAAATTATTTCCTTCACATTTCTCAGTTGTCCTTACTCTATTTCAACAAAGCACCTTTATGCTTGTCTACTGTCAACCCTTGCATTTATTTGTTTGTTTTTTTTTTTTTTAATTTTTCTTGCACTTTTTAAACAATTCTCATTACATGTATATATAAAATGCATACATTTTTTCATGGCAAGTGGTATATAGTATAGACATGCCTGTTATGTGTGTATGTATAATATATGTGTGAATGTCTGAGTTATAGATTGGAATTGTACAAATCAATGGAAAACGGAAGAGGAAATCAAAAAATGAGTACACAAGTGGACATGTAGCTTGTTTAAAACTTCAAATTCAAAGTTTTTAATTGATACAAAATTATTGTCAAAAGAGAAGGGAGGGAGAAAAACAAAGAGAGGGGTGCTTTCTTCCACTCCATCCTCCTTATCTCTGTCTATGTTTTGTGTTTATGTTCTTATATTTGATGTATAAAATTTCTGTAATTTCTTACAGCTAGCGTGTCTATCAAAATTAAGAAGCCCAATGCTGCTATCCGAGATGCCAATGCTGCTTTGGAGGTTGTTCTTCTTTTCCTTACTTGGCAGAATAGTAGTTTCTTGATTAAACAATTGATATGTAATGACAATGATGATCTTGTGCTTAATGAGGATGATGATTGTACTATTTAGGATTGTATGGCATTGCTTATGTTAAGCATAGAAGCTATTACTTTGGTCTTTACCTTTTGGGTATATTTTGATTCAGCAATATAATTCATTTTGATAATGGCTATCAAATGTTAGGGTTGTGAAAATTTTGTAAAGCACTAGAGAAATGATATAAAAGCTATGTTTAAATGTATATGATTGGTTGGTCAAGTGACTGTCATACAAGTCATTAACAATTGTTTTCAAATTTACTCAGAATTTTAAGAACCTATGTAAAATTTGTGCCAATGACTTTTGTACAATTGCACAAGACCATAACCATTTGAGTTTGAAAGGCTAAATATATATCTTTCTGATTTTTTTAAAACTTATTCTGCATAATTTTTTATTGTACATTATTTTTATAAAAAGTGTGCTATACTTTAATTAGCCGTGCGATTGCAGTTAGGCTTTTAAAGGCCTTTGGGCTTAAGTACACCTCACACTTTCACTGACACTGAGTTGAGTTTGGGCATAGTGGACCAATATCTAAACGGTCTGAACTCGATCTTGGAGAAGTCATTCTCAATTGGGGCTGAACCTGGTCAGTCCTCACCCCAGCTTGGACCAGGTGGCCTATGTATGCTTAGGCCAGTAAATTTCACACTTCCACCACTGTTAATGTTTTATAATTTTGAATTTATTTATTGTGCATGTTGCATGTTGCTTATGTGACAGTGTTATAGCACAACTTTGTCACTTATTCTTGTTATTAGGGGGCTGCATTTAGTGAGCATTTATGAGTTTTCAGTTAATATAGTTAAATATTTCAATGAACACTTCCAACTGGTGAATTAGGAACTTGACCATGTGATGTTAGTCAGTGAGTTGCTGTGGCAAGCTTGAAAATTTGATATTTTTTTCTCTAGGTTTTCTCAGATAGGTGAATACTTCGTTTTCAAGTAGGACATTGGAACTTCAATTATTGTCTATTTTTGTCCGTGGTTTTCACATGTTTGTTTGCTTGATATCTCATACCCTGCATGACCATTTTAGGCATTGGTTATGAACTTAAGCGTATAGCTGTGTAGTGGGTTAAAGGCTCCCCTAGTATTTTGTTATTCTTACATTTTTCAAGGACATAATTATCTCACCAATTGGCTTCACTGAAATTTAGCAGAGCAGCAGTGCTATATCCACACAAAATCCTCCCCCGCAAGCCCCATGAATGACGTGGCAAGGTTGGCTAAAAGGTTTTGAGAAAAGAGAGGAGTGTAGGAGCATGGGTCATTAATTTACCCTTTCCTTGCCACATCATTCCGGGGGGTTTGTGCGGGAGAAATTGTGTGGTAAAACAGTTTTCATATTTTATTGCTTGGTAGACAACACAACATCAACCCTGTAATCACTGAGTTTTGATTGTCTGGCGTGGAGTGATTTCTATATCTCAATCTCTGAGCTCTTCCTGATTTTATGTAAGAATTTTGTGTACCCATTTGCTGATTATGCTTATTTTGCTTTCTATAGATGGTTGTTTCTGGATGTACGTTGCTTTGTTATTGTTAATCTGAATAACCCATCTCGGGTTGGCATTGATTTTTGTTGTTTCTCATCTTTACTGGTTCCCTATTGAATTGGCTTCTCTCACTCTCTCTCTCTATATATGAGTTTATATATATATGGGGAGTGTAAAAACTCTTTTTTTTTTTTTTTGATTTGCATGTCATTTGATTAACTCATGCAATGGATGGACCTTTGTGGTGGAAAAGATCCATTATTGGGGCATTTGAACAATTTGAGTTTAGTTAAGTTGTGATTTATGAGTTGGGTAAAGACTTTTATTGCTAGGATGTGACGTTTATTGCTTAAATTGAAATCATAGATAATAAAGTAAAATTTGGGTCAAATTACAAGGGTGAAAAAGTGTAATTTATCCTTTAAACGATTTGGAGTATGTTTGTTCATTCTACGGCTAAGATCTTCAGTGTAATCATGTTTGGGCCTACATTTTAGCAAGTAGACACTTCTCTTTTAGCATGATCATCATTTGGAGGTGTATTATGTAAAATTCTACGTATTATGGCTTTGGTTCCTTTGATTTTCTCCAATATGTTTCCCTAACATTGCGGGCATATACAGTTCTTTAGAAGACGCTTGCAAATGCTCTATATCAGGGCTTAATTATTAGAAGAAATAATTAAATTTTAGAGGTATGAAGAAGGTTTTGTATAGTAATTTTTGAAGCTATGTGCAGTGCAAATGATCTGTGGTAACTTTTGAAAATATGCAGAGTGCAAATGCTCTGTTAGTGTCAAATTTTTCATGTGTTGTGTTTTCTTCTGTATCTTTAGAGAAGTAATAATGATCGTATGATTTACCTTCCTTTTGTTGTAGGTTTCAAGTATCATTTTTCAAGGAGCTCTTTCATCAGCCTTGCTTGTTCTTCCTTCCACCTTGGAAGAGAAATATCCTAAGTTGCCCAACGCTCAACAGGTTTTCATGGAGAGAGAACTGAATACAAATTCTCCATCTCTTCACTCGTCTTTTCTCTCGAACAGCAGGGTTGTTGGTCCTATGTTCTCATCTACCTCAGGATACTTCAATGATCTTTATCTTTCCTCCATTGCACCTCCTGAAAAGCATTCAAGAAAGTCACCCTTTTCAACAAATGCTGGGGCATCAATGCCACTAGCTCCTTGTCATTCTACGATGCTCCAATCTGTAGCATCAAGCAAAAGTTATTCCTTGTATACAGATTCATTAGCAGATTTCTTTGATTATCCTGTAAATACTTCTAGCAGGAAAATTCAAATTGGAAGCCGCATGAATGGTGGTTGTGCCATGGCAACTGAAGATCTTAGTAAACAAAATGATTGGCAGGATTGGGTTGACCTAATAAACGATGATGATTCATTGAATTCTAATTTGGATGAACTTTTTGTTGATAACTTTGTTGAAGATCCTGAGCTAAAGGTCAGAATCTCCTCAGGAAAGAAGACTCTTAAGAAAGCATTTCACGTTTTTCACACATTTTTATTAATAAAATGGAAAGTGTGTTAATTTGTATTGTTGTGTCCTTATTGTGTTATTGTAGGTAACAAATTATTCGGAACAACAGTCCAAAGTACTCCAGCGGATTTCAGCTCCATCTGAGGATTCTCCTCATGCTCTTAACTCCACATCCTCAGCAAGTGGTGGTCCAACCAAAATGCGCATGTGTTGGACACCTGAGGCCTTTGCTGAAGCAGTCAATAAACTTGGTGGCAGTGAAAGTGTGTGACTCTTCTCACCTTACAGTACTTCTTAACCTCATTTGCCCCTAAAATTACGAGATCCTTTTTGGCTCCGTTCCTGTTTTTCAATACTTTCACTGTGCTGATTATTCATTTTGTATTTTCTTTTTTGTAACTTACTGCGTGATGTAGATCTTTGCTGATTATTCATCTCCCTGTTTGCTGAGTTTGCTTTCCCTTTTTTGTAACTTACTGCGTGATGTAGATCTTTAATACACTAATTTCTTATATTATCTTTCTTTTTTTTCACTGTCAATTTTATTGGCATTTGTTGTGATGCTTATGGTTGTGTGTATTTCATGGTTACTCGAGTCTGAGTACTCTGTCATGAAATGCTAATTGTCTTTGCAAGTCAACTCCTTCCCTCAGACTTCTTTCTTTCTTTTTTTTTTCCTGGCTCAAATTTATAGGCCTAAATCTAATTTTTACTTCGGTAGTTATCTTGACTTCTTTACCTCATGGACCTAATAATAGTGAAAAAGTGTACGAGCTGTGGCAGTACCATATTAAGCTAGTCATTTTCTTGATTTGCAGGATCTTCAGAGAAAAAGTTTACCCGCATTGAGGAAGTTGCATCTCTGGACTTGAAAACGTAAGTAGATTGACTTGGATGAACTTAGATGTATATCTATCTTGCAACGCACCATTTCTTCTTGTGCTTGAAGGGAACTAGATATCGTACATCTTTGAAGTATTGATGCATCTGGTAGTTGTGACTCATTTAGATTTCCAGAGACTGTCATTCACCTATTGTTGCCTGGATTATTGAATTAACTTAGACATGCTTTTACATTTCTAAGTATTAATGGGGGAATTAAAATGTTTTGCTATTTTGACTTGATTATGATGAACGTTAGAGGTGATGTGCAGTTTTATGAAGTTGGGAAAAGATACATGGTTTATAATTTTTATTAATAAGTTTTTCTTGTCTCAGTTAAGTGATATGCATTCAACTTTACAATGTATGTCCTGGAACCAGGAATTATATCTTTGCCTTCAGATGTGTTTTAACCAGGAATTAAGTAGCTACTCGTTCCATCTAAAGTAGCTCAAGTAGTTTACACAAATTTCTTGGTCAAGAAATACATTCTAATGACTTGTTACTGCATGCCACTGTTTGATTTGCATTGCCTTGCATTTTTTATGACAAGTATTAGCTCGTTTTATGTTTTTTGTTTTATTTTTTTTAAAGGATTTTGGCACACACACACATACACTCTCTCTCTCTCTCTCTCTCTCTCTCTCTCTCTCTCTCTCTCTCTCAATGCCTTCGAAGCTTTTTGCTTCTTGATGCAACTTAACTTACTAGTTCAAATTCAGTATCAGGTTGTTTCCCATACGGATTGCTAGACTGGATTTATTCAGACCTCTTAACTTATATGTGGGCAGGGCTATTGAGCTCACTGAAGCAATACGATTACAGATGGGAGTCCAAAAGCGCTTGCATGAGCAGTTAGAGGTATGGATTTGTTTATCATAAATGGATTTTATTTTTATTTGATTTGTCACTTCTTGATCCTGATTGCAATTTACTGGAAATAAAACTAGTAGAAAAAATTTAATGGTCCCACTATTAGATCTATTTGAAGCCTACTGCCAACTTGTTAGCAGCTTGATGCATGCCTTGAAAACCAGCCATTAGGGTTTGTTTTGCTCATTTTTAATAGTTAGTCACAAAAAATGAAATTACAGAAATCAAGACACAAGGCACCTTGAATTCATTTCTCCATTCCAAACTTGCTTATGATTTGACCGTGCTTCCCTTTCTCTTTCTACTCTTTAAGCAGTTTTTTAGTTCATGGATTTCATTTTTTTTCACTGTGGTACTCATTTGGTTAGCCATTCTAGTTGCATGCAGTCTCCTTGTTGAGTAACAAAATTTTAGAAGTTAAAAATAAATTTCTTGAGCCATTGAAGATAATTTATAGGCAGGTACCTTTTTCTTTTTATTTTTTTCCTTGAAGAATCTCATACATCTTCCTCAAGAACAACATATAGAAATGCAAGAACCCCCTTAATCCATATCACTGAGAACGATCTTTCTAAACTTTAAAATACCATTTCCTTTGATGTCCCTAGTAAATGGATGTTTGTCATTTAGTCATTAGAAATTACCGACCGATGGCCTTGTTGCAACCATGATAGTTGGAAATTGGTGGCTCTTGTTGCCATAGCCATCTATTATTTATGGATACTGATTTTTTTTTGTCACTTTTTTTTTCTTTTCTTTTTATTTTTTACTTTTTGCAGATTCAAAGAAATAATCTACAGCTGAGAATATAAGAGCAAAGGAGATATCTCCTGATAATGTTTGAGAAGCAATGCAAAGCAAGTGATACTTTGAAGACGTCATCGTCGTTGTCTGCCCCTACCCTGGAAAACTTCTTTGCTAATACTGAATGATGAAAGGAGCTTTGGAACTCTGATGTTCAGATCTGCTCTCTCTCTCTCTTTCTCTCTCTCTCTAAAATTCTCAGGACATGTTTCTAGAGTTTTGGCAGAAGAAACAACCATTCAATAACCTCCAAGTGTTGAAATTTCCTATGAACCCAACTGGGATTAGCTCTACCTTGATGAGATGCACGTATCATCAACCTTCTAATAATAAAACAACCCCCAAATTTTGGTTTTATGTAACAAACTTGAATTTTCCAAATTGATGTATCCTAATTGTTTCATGCATGTCTCCCTCTAACTACATTGAACCACATTGAATTCCAAGCATACAAGACAACGGAAAAATATGAGAACAGGCATGAAAAACAAGAAACTAAACCTCATCTTTGAAAGTAGCCAACCTATCTAAAACTCTCCTATCATAGCCATAATCCTGGTCCATGTCCTCCCCTCCCCCTTCTTGGGCATAAATATACTATGCTAATGCTTTCCCTCGTTTCAGTTGCTGGCTTGGGGTCAGTTTTAAACCCCTCAGAAGGCTAGTCCGTTACCTTGCTAATTAGTGCTTTTCACATATGGAATACAATAATACGCTTGTGTTTATAGTTCTTTTTGCTGCATGCTATAAATTTAATCCCAGGTAATTTTATTCCTTGATCTAGTTTTTGAGATACATAGACTGAATTTCACCTATTGGGTAAATGCTTGGATTTTCTTATTTGAATTTGCCAATGTCTTCAAAAAAATTTCATATTTTCATTATTTTCACATATGAATCTTCATTAGAGTGTAGTAACTTTCTCTTCTCTTTGGTATTAATTTGGAAATCAGGTTTGTAATGAGCTCATTTGGATCATTCTCTTCAATTCAGACCCTATGGCAGCACCATTTTGTCTAGGGTAAAAATTACACCATTAGTCATTGTAGGAAATTACAGCATTTCTTTAGGACATCCTCTTACAAGCCCAAAAGGGTGGGCACAAAACATTCACACACTTGAAAACTCAAAAGTAAAGGCAAACACCCAACTGTCTCAACTCCAGAGCGTAGGTAAAACAACAAACAAACTAGACAATTATGTATATATTACTTTGGTTTGATGTTTGGGACAATCAAATGAGTTGTTCATGAGACTTCCATATTGCGAATGCATGCTTATGTGGAAGTAACAGTTGAGTCTTGCAGGGTAGTTGAATCTTTGTAAGATTCAATGTATAAAAAGAAATAGAGAGAGAATAGATTGTATGTATTATGATTGATGTTAAGTGTGTCTTTACAATGTGAAGATGACTCTCCTTTTATAGAGAGGAGAGTGTACAAAGGGGCAAAGAGAGCCGAAAGAAGAAAGCAGAAAGTGTGCACGAAGGAAGCACTAAGAAAACAACATGATTAAAGCTTGATAATTTACAGCTAACATATTATGCACTAATATATAATACATATAATATACTAACAGTCCCCCTCAAACTCAAGGAGGATAGGTACTAGCCAACTTGAGTTTGGAGAGAGTAACAAAACAGGAAAATAAAATAGGATAGGAGACACTGTATGGTCGTGTCGAACCGTTGGTGAAGATACTGTATGGTCGTGTCAGACCGTTGTAGGAGCTAATCGCAATCAATGTCGGGACAGTTTACGGGGTCATGCCGGACCGATGTAGAAGCTAACCGGAATCAATGTCGGGACAGTTTACGGGATCATGTCGGACCGATGTAGAAACTAACTAGAATCAATGCCAGACAATTTACGGGGTCATGCCGGACCGATGTAGAAGCTAACCGGAATCAATGTCGGGACAGTTTACGGGGTCATGCCGGACCGTTGTAGAAGACTGTGGTGGTGCACTGAGGAGGCGACTTAGGGAGTGCGCCATGGGGTGGCTTGGGTGGTTCCCATGGTATATAACCATGCTCACCAGCTTGGGTGGTTCGCATGGTGTGTAACTATGCTCACCATGATATATGTATAAGACCCCCCCGCAAACTCAAATAGGTTTGAAGATAGAAACCTATTGGAGGTTGAAACAAAGGGATTGATAAAGTGGAGCGGAATGGCTCAACACAGAGTGGAGATGTAATAAAAAAAAAAGCTCAACACAGAGTGGAGATGTTATAAAAAAAATAAAAATGGTAGAAAGGTTTTTTTTTTTTTTAGGTGGAATATAAAAAAGGAATAAGATAATGGAAAAAGGGTTGATGCTCACCAACTGAGTTGCATAATAATGAAATATTTATGAAAAAAGAAAGATAGAAAAAGTAAAATAAAATAAAATAAAATGAAGGGAATGGGAACAAAAATCTGGAAAGACTCACCACCTGAGTGTTAAAATAATGAAATCTCGATAGAGAAAAGGGATGATGGTTTTTGTTTTTGTTTTTGTTTTGTTTTGTTTTTTTTTTTTTGAATAAAAAAAGCAAGATAAAATAAAATAAAATAAATAAAGTTAGGGGTAGTGGGATCAGACTGCGGGTCCTGAAGCCGTGGGTTGAAAATAATAATGATGTGGGGGTGAAAAAGGAAATAATGTGGGTAATATATTATAATAATAAAATATATATATGCTTTGTCCCCTGAAAAAGTATGGTGGGATTTATGGGAAAGCAGAATAATTTATTGAGGAGAACCCATATCCATGTAAACCAAAGGTTGGAGCGCACATGCTGCAGAGGTGGAGCGCACGTTCATGCAGGCACGTGTATGGGTCAGGGACTGAGTTGCAGAGAATCCCATGACAATAGCTTCTTTAGTGCTGTCCAAAATGGAGAGCTCGAGACAGTGGAGACCATCGTTGATGATGAGCCAAGTGTGCTGGAACGAACCACTATGCATGGGAAGCTCTCTGCACTTGATGATGAGCCAAGAAAGGGGTTAATTAATTTCTGAGAGATGATGTTGAGGCTGAGTCCAGCTTGTGGTGGTGACGCCATTGATGGTTCTACTAGAATGATCATTTGTGCCAACATGCAGCAACAAAACTAGAGACTTCACAGGGGTGCGAAGGAGGATCTCGCTCAAGGCATCGTCGTTGCCGGCGATTGCGTGGGCTGATGATGGCGGCGACGCCGTAGGGCCGTCGTGTTCCAAAGCCGATGAAGCGACGGCTGCGATGGATTCCTATTGTAGGATGGAGGGTGGATTTGAGATGTAAACTGTGATGTGATGTGGTGCGTGGCGCTGCTTGAGACCGAGATAATTGCAGCGGAACTCCGCCGGAGTGAGGTCGCAGAACTTGGTGATGCCGTGCACGGCGGAGGGATCAAGAAGCTGGTGGGTCTGTGGTTGCGGAAGACGACGAAGGCGGTGGCCATAGCAGCAGCGGTCTTGCCGGCGAGGTCCGACCCGGGGTTGTTCAAGATGGAATTTCTGATCTTGAAGGTGAAGTTCTGCCATGGAATTTGTTAGAAACTACTGTAGCGCAGCAACAAGAAGATCAAGAGCAAGAAGAATAATTTATGGCAGCGGAGTGAAGGTATGGGAAGAGGTTCGGCGGGGGGCCAAGACGAAACAGCCGCCCGCCGGTGAAGTGAAATTATTAGGTTCTTAACCTAGCTCTGATACCATGTAAGATTCAATGTATAAAAAGAAGTAGAGAGAGAATAAATTGTATGTATTATGATTGATGTTAAGTGTGTCTTTACAATGTGAAGATGACTCTCCTTTTATAGAGGGGAGAGTGTACAAAGGGGCAAAGAGAGCCGAAAGAAGAAAGCAGAAAGTGTGCACTAAGGAAGCACTAAGAAAACATGATTAAAGCTTGATAATTTACAGCTAACATATTATGCACTAATATATAATACATATAATATACTAATAGGAAGATAGGACGTCGTTAACCTGATGCACCAAGTTATGTACTCGGGCAAGAATCTATTCTTAAGAATTAGTGATTACAAGTATCTGTCTATAAGTTTTCTGCATTTTTATATTGTTTTATGGGCGAATTACAACAACGATCTCTGCAGTTTAGGACTTGTGTTACTTTGTTCATTAACCTTTCAATTGTAATACATTTGATTCTGAATTTTGAATCTCGTTCCAAATAAGGACAATTGAATATATCGTTTCCTTTGTGAATAGAAAATACTCCATTTCAGGGGCTAAGTTCTCAATTTGATAAAATATAAACTAGTTTGACAAAAATAAATGTCAAAAAGTTATTTTTAAAGTTATAAAAATTATTTTTAGCCACCAAGGATAAAATCATATAAAAATGATAAATCATTTACATTTTTATTTTTTTTTTATCAAATTAATTTTTAGTATGTATTTGGATGATGATTATGTAATGGGTAGTTGTTTTTGTTGATGTTTTCGGATGATTATCATGTAATAGATGGTTGTTTTTATTATTAACAAATATTTTTGGGTGATTATCTTGTAATGGATGATTATTAGGCTTTTAATGTGTAATCGATATGTTTAATATATGAAATATTTTTAATTTTGGACTTTTTTGATTTAATGAATTGGTTTAATAATGATATCAAAGTTGTTGTCATGTTTGACTTTTGAAAAAATAAAAACTAATTTAACAAAAATAAATACAAAAAAATTTAATTAAAAAAAATTATTTCTATCCTCCCAAAAGATAAAATTATATAAATATGATGTGTTTTTATTTTTTTTTTACCAATTTAATTTTTAGTTTCTTAAAAAAAAATTATGAAACCAAACAGAACTTTATAACAAAAAAAGTGTCAGCATTATTCATTAAAAAAAAATACCATTACATTTCAAACAACACAAAATAAGTTGTATGACGGCTTTGTCCTTGAAATGAACCGTTTACAAAGGAAACATCTTTGATTGCCTTTATTTGGAACAAATTTTAAAATTCAGGGTCAAATCTATACTATATATTAAGCAAAAGGGGGTTTTTAAGCCCAAGGCCTGTGGGAGCTCCAATCTCCTAATCCTAATTTTCTAATTTTTTGATTTAAAAAAAAAAAAAAACCTCAACATTTATTGACTTCTCCCAACCCAACCTCAGCATTTATTGACTTCTCCCAACCCACAATCTCTTTTGACTTCTCTCATAATTATTGCAACATCCTTTTCAATTTCTCCCATATACTATGGTTACACACAAAAATAAAAAATAAAAAGATAAGAATTTAGCTATAGATCTCAAAAAGATATAACATCTAAATTTGAATTATGATTTAATAATATAATTATGTATTTTTTTTTTATGTATATCTATCAAAATTTTAAATCACTTAATAGGACAAATTA